TGCGTTCCTGTCTGTTCCTCTGCGACTGTATGACAACAGTGTTCCCTGTGACTCTATGCTCTATACAGGAAGCCCATTTTTCCTTACCGCTTTACTAACAGCCATGCGAAGCTCTGCCACGCCCCCAAACCTGCGCTCTATCTCCTTAGCAACAGGCACATGAGCCATGGGGATGACCTCGACTGGAACCCCTCTCTTCCACTGCTGCCCCAGGGTGTTGGAGTCCTTCCTGCGGGGGGGGAGGGAGAGGAGACAGCAGTCAACTCTGCAGCTCAAAACTGTCTTTGGAAAGACTCTGAAAGGAACAGAGCAAACCTGTAGTCAGCGATGACAATGAAACGTTTGGCACAACCAGCGACAATCTTCTCCTGAGTCAGACAGCCCCTGCAGGAAGGAAGGAGACCACATGGAAACACTCTACAGAAGCAGAAGCCCAGAGGACAGGGAACATGTGGAGAACAGAAGGTTCCTTCACCAGGTTTGTATCCCAGCAACTCCAATAATCACAAATTCCAAGAATAAAATTCCCAACTTTACCATTTCTTTGAAAATTGCTAGAATAACATTTGACAACTGCTACTTCTCAGTGGAACGTTTGGTTTAATTCTGATTAATTTACTGATGTTTGTGCTCTCACTGGGGTCACATTTTTTTGACTTGACATGAACTGCCGATTCAGTAAATATTCTCTAACCACTTTACATTGAGTAAATATGACCACTATTGAGCAATATGTGTTTTTTTTTTTACTGAGATTCAAAAGATGTATAAACATTTATTTGCAGTATCCTATAAGGACAGTGGATCACTCCTGACAACAGGCCAGATAGCCAGTGCACTTAAAGTACCTTAGCATGAGAGAAAAAACACACTTGGTGAGTAACAATAATACCATACACTGCCATGCCAGTGTCTCAGTAGTATTGCCCGATAAGAAAGTTGGGAGTTCAAGCTGTAAGAGATTACCCAGTAATGACAGAGGAGTTCTACTACAGCCCTGTAATGTCTAGAGTGGTGGAATCTGTAAATGGGACTAACGGAAGGGCACATACAGGTAGAGGACAAACAAATGGAAACACCTGGGTAAATGAGGGATCCGGAACATATGAAAACAAGAGCTTCCACACAGCTGCGGCTCAAGTGTTAATGAAGTAAATGACATCCCAGCATGCCGAGGGTCATGGGTAAAAATGCTGGACACGTCTAGTTATGGTTAGCGAAGGCCTCAGTGACTTTTTGTGATTGTTGTGGTGCTTCTGGCAGAACCTTCAGTGGCCAAGACAATTCAACTTGCTGATGTCTCACGATCAACAGTGTCTAAAGTAATGTCACCATGGAACTCAGCTGGAAAGACATCATCATCAAAGGGCAACAGTGGGGAAAAAGCATGTACTCTAGTATTGTGTTATCCATTATTAAAATTAATTTGAAATGCAAGACAAAACAGGTGAGCAGCTAAATATGAAACTACTGCAAATTCTGTCTGCTGAGAACTCTACAGAGCAGGATACCATAGCCGGGTGGCAGTGTGCGAAAGGTCAGCACACCTAGCAAAGCAATGATTGCTGGTCCTGTGGTGCAAAGGGCAATAGACTATCGAGCAGCTAAGAACTATGATGTGGTCAGATGAATCATGTGTCGCCATGTTCTTGACAAACAAACAAGTGCACATGTGCCACCAACCTAAAGACCTCTACAGCCCTGAGTGCATGGTTCCAACAGCAAGAGGTTCTGGTGCTTCCATAATGTTACCAGGCACCGTTTCTTGGCATAGTTTGGGTGCAATCATTCCTTTAGAAATCAAGGTCAATGCTAAATAGTATTTAATGGTGCTTAATGATTATCTTCATCCCATGTTGCAGCACTTCTTTGCTGTTGGGAGAGGCATCTTCCAGGATGACGATGCCCCCTTCCCGTAGTTTGATGAGCTTGACTCTAATGTTATCAATGTCATATCCACCTCGGTCACCAGATTGGAACCTAGTTGAGCATTTATGAGATATTTTGGAGCACCTGAGACATCATTTCCAACTTCATCAACCTGGCCTGATATGACTGACTTTCTCATGGAATAATGGCGCTGCATCCCTCCTGTAGAATTCCCGACACTGGCGTACTCTCTGCCACAGTGAATGTAGGCCATTTTGGAAGCACGTGATGGCCCAATGCCCTATTAAATGACTTTACAATGGCCGTCTCCATTTTTTTTGTCCACTACCTGTACATGAGGTGCGTCTGTAGAGTCGCTCACTTTTGATACACCATGTGATTCACAGAACTGGTAGCTGGCCACTCTAGTGTACTGTTTGCTTTATAATCGATTAAGACAGCATTCTCTTTTTGGTCTAACCATGGCTCGAGAGAGCTGGGTTTTCGTTTGCTGATTTTGTATCCATGTAGCCTCTAATGAATCCAGGAGTTGCTCTTAGCCCCTCTGAGTTCACATTAGTATGTGTGAGCACGTTCACGTGCGCAAGGCCCTTCCAAACACATCAAGAGCCTCTCACCCGCCTCCCTTGATCAGGTTGAGATCCACATCGACCTCATCTGCTCCATCGATCGCCACGTCCAGCTGTGGACGACAGACACAGTCACAGTCGCAGGACCCACAGACGACGCGCAGTGCAATCACCTCAGAATCGGCTCTCGTGCTGTCTGCGCACTCAGGTTGATGCTAGGACGCTAGGAACTTGTAAGAATACTAAAAGGAGTGACCAAAGTCAATTATTTCACTGATCATATATCAGATCATCCTTGTGATGTGTGTGAACTTTTAAAACGAGTTTTAGGATTCTCTTTGGTTCCTGCTGTGGTGCAGCTGTCCCCCATCACTGTGAAAAGTACCTCAGGGTGCCGGTCAAGGTCAGTCAGGGTCAAACCATTCTGTAGAATCAGCTGACGGGCCTGAAAACAGGAGAGAGAAAAGAGTTGACAGAGCTAGGGGAACCCCATCTCCAGGTGCATCCAGGTCCATCTACACACAAGGCTGCACAGAGCACAAACTTACAACTTGTTAACTTCATAGGCAATTATCTAATGCAGTGGTTCTCCAACTATGGTACTATGGAATTCACACTTTCGCTGAACTCGCTCCCTCTCTTCATGACGGGCAGGCCGACACACTGACCTGAAAGGATGTTGGGACACAGACGATGTTCAGCTTCTCCTGTCGCACTCTTTCCGCTGGAAAACACACAAGCAGAGTATCTGTCAGCATCCTGAGACTGGCCCTTACAGGTTCCCACCAGAACTGAGCAACACCAGCATTTAACTACTGCCCAGCCAGGAAAAGGACAAAGAAGAAGAACCGTCTGCTCCAAGCCACGTGTGTGCAGCTGGAATCTTCCTGCTTCAGACAACAGGGGGAAGGTACCAGGAGGTGAAGGAAAAAAGGAGAGAGGGACACTCACCCAGCCTGTCCACAGCGTAGACGACAGTAGTGCCACTGCCCACACCAACAGCATGGTTGTTCTGAGGGTTAAGAGCAACAAGAGGAAAGGTCACGTGCTTCTTGCTCCTCTTGGTGCCTTTCTGATCTAAAGCATGTCCTGAAGTGTGGACACACCAGCTCACTAACTGCATCAGAGCTCCAGACAAGCAGACGGCAGCTGTTTAAAGAAGAGGTCTCCTCTGGCCTGCACAGGGTCTCACAATCACACCTGTACTTCTATCTCAGTCACACGGCTGGATTTCCTGTCTCAGTCCAGCTGCAGATGAAGAAAGTTCGGAGACAAGATCTTCCAGGGGGCAGCATCTACCTGCACCACTAACTGCTGGGCACGACAGAGAGGGGCCGACTCTTCAAGGGGGGGAGGTGACTACGTGCAACTGCTGTCTTTATTCATTTCCTTTCACATTCAGAGCTGTAAAACCTTTTCCCCTTTGCAACAGCCCCTTCTACCTCCACTGTACACTATGCTGCAGCCCCATCTCACCAGGGCTCAGGAGCCCAGCAGGGCTTGGCCTGGTCAGTACTGGGATGGGAGACCTCTGCGGAAAATCAGGTTAAAAAGATGAAGAAAATACAGATTTTAAATGAGGAGAGGCCATTTGGCCCATCGAGCTTGTTTGTTGATTAGGTGCTCACGATCTATGAATGCTGCTGTAAGTGGTGTCGGTGGACCAGTAGGTGGAACCTCTTTGGTGACTGGGAACAATGCACTTCAGTGGTGAATGAAGAGGGTCCCCTCCTAGGTAAAGCACTTTGAGATGAAACATGCTATATAAATGCCAAACTTATTATTATTATTATTATTATTATTATTATTATTATTATTATTATTATTATTATTAACATTTGCATTAAGTGGCTCTTGCATTGCGTCTGTCTGTATGTCTAGTAATCAAAAACAGGAAGAACTGTTGTGGGTAAAACTGACCACAAATGTTGCCCCACAACAGTGTGTTTACAGCATCCAATTCACACCCAGTCTGAGACACTCTCTGATAACAGAGCTCCCATGCAGGCCTTTGGAAGAGTGAATCTGTCAACACCTCGCTTTTCCCACTCGGATGACGCGCATTATCCGTATTTATTGCAAACGCACAGTTTATGGATTCTCTCTTGTAGCAGTATGTTACTGATCAGTGATAACATTCACAAACATGACATTTGGTCCCCAAAATCGTCTATAAAGTAACTTGACTTGCGCTTGAAAATGCATCCCTGTGACAAAAACAGCAATGCAGTATTGGTAGGACATTGGGCGGCTTGCAGAAATGACCGAGCTCTGCAGTAATCGGCTACAAGGTTTCGACGAAAACCAGGTACCGCGCGCACGAGAGCGTGTATTCTGCTGCTGCTGACCGCAGGGAAGAGTCCCAGCTGCGTCAGGGTCTGCAGCTCAGCTGACACCTGCCCTCGGACCAGGGGCTCCTGCGGGCCAGAACACGTGCTCTTTCAAAACACAAGTACGGGGCTAAAAGACAATATACTGCCTTTTTTTGCAACAGAAGGGAAAAAAACTGTATTTGCTTTCTGCAAACACTGCATAGTTGCGAAACCTGCTGCTGCTGTACACTGATCAACTTTACGGGTCAGGCATCTGGAGGGTAAGCTAATCACCCTGTTAAACTACGGAATCATGTTGTTAACTGCTAAATGAGGGTTAAAGACTGAAACCTAATTTGGAACGGAAGACCAGGTTGTACGTGATCAAGAAGCTTACTCATGAAGTTTAATATATGAACAAAACTAGCATACGAAATTTTATTGACACGAGGGAGACTCCAATAACGAGCTTTCTTCACCATGACGAGGCACAATAGGTTCAATGCAGCAGATATAATTCTGAGCCCTCAAGCTGAGCCGACGTCTTGTGACTCAGGAGGGGGGTTAATTTAATTATACAGTGATCAATCCTGCACAACCACACCGTGCAACAGCTCTGTGCAAAGAGCGATAACAGGCGCCGCTGCTAAACCTCGGGTATGTAGCTCTGCTAAGTGCTGTGCACTTCATTAAAACACAGCGCACGTCCCTACTGCAGCGATCTGTCAATTAGAAGAAATGCACAGGTATTACCGGAGTCATTCATAGTCTTTACCTGCACGTGATTGTCCACGGCAGCATAGCCGGCCAGCTTCTTTGCATTTTCAGCCATGGTTCTCCTCCCGCAGCAGAAGCGCCTACACGAAAACACGTGTCCCTCGGCGAATATCTTCCTGCCAAGACTCCCCGGCCTCCCCAGAAAGCCAGCTGCGAGAGTCTCACAGATTTCCCTTTGTAACCTCATAATCCAGCCCCCTTGCCTCGCCGGCCTCCACTACCTCAGGAAGTCGTGCAAAAAAAAAAATCGGCAGTTGTCTGCAACGCAACCCGAGCCGGTAATAGTAGTTTTTTAAATTTGCTGAACGGTCGAGTTACGAGTGGGTTGGTCCCAATGTGAACTACACTTCCCAAAATGCAGTGCATACCGGTCGCACGGTGTTCATATTTAACTCTTTTGTACAGAGTCAAATGTTGCTTGTATGAGTGTACGCGAACAGTTTGCGTATTTTGAAGTCTGTAAATTGAGATTTACGGGTTTGCTGCATTCAGCTTGAATGGAATTGATTAAGCAAATTAAAAAAAAAACCTAGACGTCCTCTATAAAAAAGTAGGTTCCAAAAAATGCCAAGAACTTTACGGAGAGTGTGGCTCACTCTCTCCATTATGAATTTACACTACTCCTATCTGTGTCCCCAGGGGTAATGGAAACTCTAGCAGGAAATCTTTCATTCTATATGCAATTGCTTTCTAAAACATGTAAAACAAATCTTATCTCCTATAACACTGTTCTACTATATTATTTGTTGGAGACGTTTGTTGTTTTTCCAGTACTATTGTGTTGCACCATAGAGACATTGATTCATCATGTAAGGTGGTGTATAGAACTAGGAAAGAGTGGTAACAATTGTTAATCCTTAAACCTACAGTACGTTATCAAGGAAAAAAAAACTAAATGTGAAACTTTCCAGGGGTCACAGAAAATAGCCAACATTCTTCAGACCATTTTATTGTTGCCGGTAATGTTATTGTCAGTAAGATGCACAGCGTTTATTACAGGCATAGCAGGCAAAACAAGAAAAACACTCTTTCCAAAATATCCAGATATTCTTAAAATGCAATAAAATGACTGGAGTGGGTCGGAACAGAACCCATCTCCACAGGATGGGGGTGCATGGAGAGGCAGAGCAATAAAGAGTCAATAAACCTGTTTGTGAAGCCTCCACGTCTCAGAAACTCAGTTTACTAATAATTTATAAAATTATCTAAAGTTCCAGGTTTTTATATTCTAATATATAAGAAAAGAATAAAGACCAAGAAACACCCATGCTGAGTTATAATAGCGTTGTAAACATATCCTGGTCTAATCACAGCCCAGAACAGAGACACGGGGAAGGGAGGTTTGTTCAGTGAGTTCAGCCGGAAGGGTGCTGGTGGACTGACTGGTCAGATGGAGTTCTTGCACAGAACACACAGCCAGTGCCAGGCAGTGCAGTGCTGGTGTTCAGGGGTCACAGCCCCTGCTCCTGAGACTCCTGCCTGTGTCCCCCTCCAGCTTAGAAACTCAAGCCCTCAATACATACCTTGCCTGGATAGATGTGCTTGGCATCATCATCATCATCATCATCATCATCATTGTCATCATCATTATTTTTGTTATTATGTTTGTGTGTGTGTCCATCTGAAATTAGGACAGCATTATTTTTACTATTTTTAGCAGACTGGTTAGCCAGCTTCCACGTATTGTCTCCCAGTGTCTCAGGTCTGGGCAACAGTACAGCTAATGCAAATGTCATCACAGTTTTACTTAAAGTACTTACTATAACAAACTCATGATGCAATTGTTGAGCTACTTATTTGACTGATATAGTATTTATTTAATAATGTGTATATACATGATGTGTATATACATAACATATAGGCACTAAGATTAAATGAAATAATTAGTCATCATACTGTATGTTCATGGTACTTTCTTATCTGTGACAATACAGCATTTATTCAGTGACCCAGCACACAGGAGCTGGGAGCTCAGCCTGGTCTGCTGTCCTGGTCCAGTCTGATCTCAAAGACCATGGACTCCTGTGCTGTTACACTGACCTGTCTCAACCTGTGTGTCCAAGCCTGTAACCACACAGAAACTGCAAAGACACACAGCCCAGCCTGGTGCTGGCGCCCACTCCTGGCCTGGTACAGGCACAGCAGTGAGACTGTCACTGATTGAAGATGTTTCATTATGTTTTCTTCTGAGGTGTTTATGTATACAATCTGTATTTTCAGAATAAACATGTATATTATAAATATAGGTTATATGATTTAAATGTGTGAGGGACTGTCCATAGCACGCTAGAGGGTCTGGTGGGGCAAGTAAATTAACCAGATCAGCTGACTGGCCTGCTTGCTTAAGAAAAATTGCAAACCATTCAGCCCATTTGGCAGTCTTTCAGCTGGTCTTATGCTGATGAAAAATGCTTTGTTTTGTGGGGCAAAGCCTTACTGCAATTTAAGTAACATCTTAAATTTTCCAAATAAATTCTTGTGAGTTTTCATTACTAATCTGCTGAGCGCACTCCTGTGAGTGTCTGCAGCCAAAGTGGGTTGGAGTTGCACAGACTGTGCCACAGTAGCCTGTGAATGTTCAACTCCAGGGGTGACCGGGTTTAGAAAGCTTCCTGTCTCCAGCTCCCACACGTGATGGACAGCACCTGAGATCTGAGATCTGAGCACCTGAGGTTATGAACTAAATCCCCACCTCCACAGTGAGGAGGAAAACTGTGATGAAGAGCAAACTGCCAGCACTTTACAGAGGAACAAGTAATAGGTTTATTCCATGCTGAAAAAAAGAAGAAAGAGAACACAACGTTTCGGCCGTGGAGCCTTCTTCAGGTGTGAAGGTGTGACACCTGAAGAAGGCTCCACGGCCGAAACGTTGTGTTCTCTTTCTTCTTTTTTTCAGCATGGAATAAACCTATTACTTGTTCCTTTGCAGCCTACGCATGCTGACGCAGCTACCCACCTGAACTACTAGCACTTTACAGAGTTCAGGATAGCCTAATAAGAATACAAGGCACTACTAGAAATCCATATGCAAACCAAAGCCATTGCATGAAGCAGAGAATGAGGGTCCTTCATCTTGTCCCAGTAATGTCCAGCACAGATGATCTGTCATGCAGACACTGTCCCTCCACCCTGGGGTGAGTGCATGGGAAAGCTGATTAGGCTACACCGTCACATCAGTACTCAACATGCAAAGATTATAGCATATTGTGAGGAGGACTATAAAAACCAGCATGGGGGCTAAAACTGTACAGTATATGCTACAGTAGAGTTACCATGCTTTTCTGTTGCACATGCAGTGTGTTAAGTAGTGAATATTTAAAGGAGAACTGCAATCCCTAATTCTCAGACCGGTTATTAAACCTTGGTAACAAAATAACGTCATTGACGTTGTAGAAAAATATCACAAATTTCGAAATAAGCATGAACTTTGTGAAAGTACTACAAGTTGTCATGTTGTTGCCGACTTGCATTTGATTGCCCATGAATTGCAACGTGAAGTGGTCCTTCCTGCTCACCAGTCTCCGTAATGACTAATGTGATGTTATGTATGAGCGACATGTTGTTGTGCAGCAGACATTTCACTGCGGAGTGTTCCAATGTGTTCTGCATGTGGAGTTAACTAGTAGAATTGGTCTACAATGGAGAGCGATATTTCTATTGGATTAGAAGAGATGTATTCACAAGTTTGCTTGTTTACAATGCTCTTCAGAAGTTACTCTATACATTTTACTTTTATTGTGATGAAATTAACTCATCAATGCTTTACTGAAATACTGTATAAAACAGCCTTGCAGTTCCCCTTTAACCCCATCCCTGTTACTGTAGTCTAAGTGCTGCGAGCACAGTCAGACCATGAGCCTGGAAGACTGCATCCTCCTGGTTTTGGAGGTTTTAAGCAGGAGGAATCATAGCGGTAACTGGCATGTGGCGGCCAAAGGTTTAAAACAATGTTGCCTTCAGACCCTAAAACCAGCAGTGTACAGTACAGCAAAATCACCATTTCTGGACATGTGGGATTCAAAAGGGTCTTGCTTCACAGTAACTGGCTCTTCGTATGTGTTGCACTAAACCGCCTCTGCTCATTGCGCTTAATGCGCACGACCTCTTATGAAAATATGGCAAAGACCTAGCTGATCATGTGACAATTGCAATTTACATTCAGCTGTACATGTGGCATCATGTCTGCTCTCTGACAGTGCTGTCAGTGAGGAAGTGACAAGCTGCCCTGCAGTGCCAGGGATCTGCTTTCAATCTCTCAATTGGACTGGTCTTCTTTCCAAAATTAAAATGCAGTTCATTTATTCGGAGTGATCTGTTCTGAAAAATCATTAAAAAACTGCTGTGTGTAAGCGTCATATAAAATCCTTGTATGGACACCACTCTGTACCCTTCCTATACTGTATATAGTGGTGCAGTATCAATGAGTGCACATCAAATACCCACCAGACTCCTGTGCAGTCTCACTCTACAGCCAGCCCACTTGCATCAGGATCACAAAAGGCACCAAGACCACGGCCCACCCTGGAGCAGTCGGGGCAGCAGCAACAGTATCTGTCAGTGTACAGGTACCGGTTAGGACAGGGGACAGAGACCTCTGATTTTTCACACCACACAAGCAAGGCAAAACACTAAACAGAGTTCAGATCAGGGGAGATTCCTGGCAAATTCAATCTAATGTGATCACATGGACAAACACAACTATTACAGATAGGCAGAAAAAGAAAAAAAAGTGAAATATCAAATGGGTGGGACTGAACTAGAAGGAGCTATGCAGTGGAAAGTGTATTTTTGACTTTCCACTTTCTTCACCCAGTGTGGGAAGCAATTAGAACCCAACAAAATGCAACAATTTATAGCGTAAAGTATACTATAGCGATAAGGTTTATTCCATGCTGAAAAGAGAAGAAGAGAAACACAACGTTTCAGCTGTGGAGCCTTTTTCAGGTATGAGAAAGAGAGGAAAGTCAGCAGCTGATATACTGTAGCACAGGAGAACAAAAGCCGGAAGTGGAGAGGGAGCACTCGGAGCACTTGGGTGTTTTTTTCTTCCTTTCCATTCCTTTCACTTTTATTTTATTGTTTCTTCACAGCCTCGTTCCCCACATTCTAACACTGTGGTTTAAAGATCTACTGGGATCATCGTAAACCTCACGGAAGGCACACGCACAGTAAAATATCCGCCTGGCAGGATTATCAGCGTTGAGTAATCTACCAGTGTTGGATAGCCTTTGCCTGCACGATGAGTAAGACAACTAAACTGGTTACATGAAATGTCAGAGGTATTAATTCCATTACCCAGATGGACTGGAAGATTAAGGGTTCTTAAGAGACTGCTGTAGATGTACTATATGAAGCGCAAATGTCAGAGAACCTGAAATTGAATTGGGTAAATCAAGTCCCAACATCATGATTTAATTCTACATGTAGAGGTGAATTGATTTCCCTAGCACATATTTTGGGTCTAAACGAGGTTTCCACAGAGCTTTTCCAAATTGTATTTTATTATTAATTTAGAAAATAATCTGTGTGGTGATTTCCACATTCTATCAGGTCCATGTTCAGAGAAATCAAAAACACCTAAGAATCCGTATATGTCTAGATATTTAAACCTCCCCTTCACAGTGACCGCGACCCTCACCGGGAAATGCGGAGTAAAAATGGATAGATGGAAGTTCACAGTGTTGTGAAGGTGTTTTTTTCCTCTTTGTAAAACTCTGTGTATCTGCACACATTGCTCTCAGTCTGGTGCTGAAAAGCTACTGCCTGACGTTGTTTTTTTCCAGGTTTGTAATGCTGTGCTTACCGCTACTAACAAGTTGCTGTGTGTTCAGACCTCAGCTGCTCAGCCTTCAAAACTAGTAAGTAAACTATAGTTCATATCGGCCAAGAAGATAAAATCTAGACTTTCTGCTACTAATAAGAAGTACTTAACGCTAAATATGATTTCATTTCAGCTAAAACTAATGAAAATAGATTCTGACTTTCCCTATAGAGAAAACGGTTGCGAAAATAAGAAAAAATGACCAAATAAGAAAAAAATGACCTCTTAACACCACAAGGTGGAGCGATCGCTCCAGAGTTCATATTTGAATCGAGGGAACATGAATTTACACTTACAGTACTTGTGATCGGCGCACGAGCCTGCGAAAATAATAAAATCTAAGGACAGTCAAAACAACCAGACAATAACACATAACACACGATTCTTTTCAAAAGTCGTTGCCAGTTCCTTGCAAGATCACAAATGAACGACCCTCTCGGACGAACTATCAGAACGCACGGATTACCCTTCTTATCGTTTTCAGATGTTAGCTGTTGGTGCGCCGGCCTGAGAGGCAGTAATCCAGCGGTGCAGGAGTTCACATGTCGGCTCTTACCTTTCAGCTCGCCTGGCGCTGTGCTCGTCTTCCTGGGGCAGTCTGAAACAGACAGAGGGCACCTAGAGTCATCTACTAGTATACACTAATACTATAATAGTATTATAGAAAACTCTAGTAGTATTAGGAGCAAGTAGCGAGTTTATTCCATGCTGAAAAGAGAAGAAAGGAAACACAACGTTTCGGCTGGAAGGCTCCACAGCCGAAACGTTGTGCTTCCTTTCTTCTCTTTTCAGCATGGAATAAACCTATTACTTGTTCCTTTGCAGCCTACACATGCTGACGCAGTTACCCACCTGAACTACTACAGTAGTATTATTACAATATTAATATGCATACATTCACATATACTGTATAGTATAATAGTATGATTTGTGCGGTTTACAAACGCAGAATGTGCTCTCGACAGAGGAAAATGTGCTCACCGGTTTGTTCTTTCAGATTCAGAGCGATAGAGCTGCTTCCATGCTCAATGTGGTATTGCCCCTGGACAGAGCTGGTGAAATTCCGAATGACCAGGGTAACGTTGTCTCCGCTCACAATCAGCCAGAAGTTCCTGCTGCACTCAGGCTGGCCTTTCCCACAGGAGTGGCAGACTTGTTGCCCTCCTCCTCCGCTCTTGAACACTGTGAGACAGGAGGCGCTCGCTCGGGGGACTGTGAGGGTCACACGGGCCTCTCCCCCCTGGCAGACTGAGCATGGTGCGAAATCGGAGCAAAAAGACAAATTACACTTCACGCCTGAAACCTGGCACAGGGCAGAGATGGGTGACAGGCTAGTCGTTATTTGTTATTACTGTTGTTTTTTCAAAGGTAGTTTCCATGGTCCTGGGCTGGCTAGTATGAGGCTGCTGTCGTACTCACAAAGAATCAAATACCTTGACAAGCAGATCAGCTCAAGCTCTCATTCACAAGTTTTCAGAGAGTTTTGTTAAAGTCCAACTGCCCCTCTTAATCCCAACCTGCCAAAACACAAGATGTTCAGCATTTCCTGCCCTGAGTATGATCCATCTGTCCCTGGATGATTTGTAAACCCAAGATTAATTTGCACTGACGTTTCTCTAGTTTATTCCAAGCAAAAGGACATTGCATGAGATGACTGAGGATCTAAATCACATCATAAATTATTTCCAGTTGCTGTTGAGTAGATCTGAATCTCCCTGCAGAGTGTAAGTTATTTATGTGTCAATGTACTGTATACCATTAAGATTGCATGGTGAAGTTTGAAAGCCATTGAGACTAATATCACTTCAACTATGAAGACAGTGTGAGGAGCACATCACTGCCCTGAGTTGAATTGTACTGCTCTCATAAGTAAATAAGAAAAGATATAACATGAAGAGGACATTCAGCCCTTCTGGCATGTTTGATTAATATTAGATAAGGGTTTTCCGAAAGAAGACATTTTTCTCTCTGAATCTAGACTTCTTCCTTTTATTTGTCACTTTTGCGATACTGAAAATGACATTTAATTATGTTTAGCATCCCTAGCTTCTCTCCCTGTCTGTGTGTCTGTGTCTCTCATGGAGAGCAAGTTGGGGTATGCTAAAAGACAAATTCCTAATACAAGAAATTGTATATGGCCAATAGAGTGATCTTATCTATCTTATGCTTTCTTTTTGGCCTTTGTAATATCTTGTGCTGGTATTTTATTTAGTTACTCTTTTCTATGTAACTGAAATCTTTTCTTTTTTAGCAGTTAATAATGTACGTTGTATCACCTTTTTTTGGTTTATTGAAACCTTCTGGGTCACTGTTCTCTAACCATTGATGTGCTTACTGTTGCACTCTTGAGAGGAATCTGTTCTGTACTTCAAGCAGGACATCTGTAAACTGCTACCACCCATTCTTCACTCATTCAACATTTATCCTGTCTCATTCCTTCATAATTATAGACCTTTATTTTGGATTTGTACAGTTTCACAGTATACTTCAAAACCATTCATCAGATAGTAGTGATCTAATGGTTTTCAGTCTTGATTGCTCACTCAATACAGACAGACCCAGACAAACAATGTATGAAAGCACTCATTATTGACTATTCTGTTTCAGTTCCTGATACCCACTGAGGGGTTTTCTACAGTCTACTGTATGTGAGGAAGTGAAAATCTCCAGTGACAACTGCTTCTTTCTTTATAAATCCAGTACCTCCTTGATTTTGTTGACACAGTGAAAACTTCAAGTATTGAGACAGCAAATTGAAATTTGTCATTTTTGATGTATATTAAGGATATTTGTCTTTACCACTGCATTACTGTGCTGCCCCACTCAGGTGTTCCATGTTGCATTAATTGTGAAAACAAAAGAACTGTGAATGTACAGCACATCCTTGTATATTAACCTTTGGAACTCATAATATCAAGAGGCATAACCAAAACTGTCACGAACACGAACGATCCATCCAAGACGGGAGATTAAAAACCAGAACAAGGTCGGCACAGGCACTTAAAAGCATAACGGAGCCAGACGCATCAGGACCCCGGCTCGCATGACCACGCCAACCAGGCCCATTGCAGAGCCCTGATTAGCACGAGCATCTGGCTTTTAAGGTGGAACTGAAAAGGGGCTGGAATAAGGAACAGGTGAGGGGAATGAGGCAAAACAAGGAAGGGCTGGAGCGCCCTTAAGAGGAGGGGTTTGCGATCATGACAAATACATGATCTGTGACAGAAAGGCAAGCAATTGTGAAAATGGCAGCAAAGAAAATTCCAATTAGAATTACTACAGAGAAACTGGGCATCTCAAAATCAAGAATATGAGATGAATTTAAAATGAAAGGAACTACTGGAAAAGATCAGGTCATCTGAGGAAGACAATAGCTGTCAATGACAGAAAATCATTAGAGCTGTGAAGAAAGGAAAGGAAGGTAAAGGTAAAGAAACTGCAGACAATCCACAGAGTGCAGTGAAATGATCTAAACTCGCTGTTCGTAGAAGAATTGGGAGAACTATAAGGGTTGTTCTGTAAGAAAAATCTTATCTGCACTAGATTAGAATTTGCAAAGAAGTAAAAACTTGAGCCACAGCAGTTCTGGAACAGTTTTATGGACAGATGAGATAAAGGTCAAACTTAGTTTATCAAAGTGACAGAAAGGCATAAGCTTGGGGAAAGAAAGCAACTGCAAGTGATTCTACGCACACCACCTTATTCATGAAACATGGTGGAGGTAGTGTCATGGCCAGAATCATTTTGTCTGTCCATGTCCAAAAATACCTAATTCGCCCTGCAGCAAGACAGTTTGGCCAAGTCAGTCTCCTTATTTGAATCCTGTTGAGCATTCATTTTACTCGTTGAAGAGGTTACTAAAGTCAGGAAAACATATAAACAAGAACGTGGCTGACTTTAAAGCTTGGCAAAGCATCTCAAATTAATATATCAAAATAATGTCAATGGGTCACAGACTTCAGGCAGTCATTGCATATAAGGCAATCAAATAGTAACTTTACACGAGTTAATTTCTCCCAATACTTATGCCGATCTGAAACTGGAGGAGTTTGAACAGAAAAACATTAGTGTTTCAACATTATTTACTGTACAAAACATGCACAAAAATACCCAGAAACAAAACTTCATTTTCCCCAATACTTACACTTTTTTTATTATAATATCTGAATTTGGTTTTAACGCCGATAGTTTTTTAAACCCTTGATTCCTCTAGTTTTAGTCCTCAACCCTGGACATTATTTTTTACATGTAGTGCTAAACCTCCCTCTCTTCTATCTTTGCTGTCTCTCCAGAACCGCATGTATCCACTAATGTAACAAGGCCCTGCAAATGTTTCAGACACTGCCTATGCTATTCCATTTTGTGAAATTCTTAAATGAAGAAGACACATTTCATACTAAAGTCATGTTGTTGTACTTATTGAGCTCAATAAAAATGAAATCTACACAAGACTGTCCTGCTCCTGTGATGAAGATTTCTCCGCAAGAATAAGGGTTGATAAATTAATTAAATTGTTTGTCAAAGTACTTAAACACTAAGCACATAGGAGCTCATTGCACACACAGCACAGATACAGCATTTCTTGTTACTGACAGAATCATGCTGGAACTGAAATATACATACCTGTCATGTCTATAGGTGGGCCTTGAGTCTTAGCTATCCCTGCAAATGAAACATCAATTTATACATTACAAAGTGTGTTTGAAACTGAACAGGAAGCTTTTTTTCCTGAGCTAACGGGTTATTGCATTTATTAGTATTATTTTAGGGAGGATTTGCAGCTAGATGAGACTAACACCGACAACTTAAGTAAAACGCTACAGAATCCTTGTAGTACTGGCTGAACACCAGCTGGTAACCAGCTCAGCTCACCAGGATGACAGGGGTAAAGAAGACTGCGCACACTGCTTTCTGAAATGAGCCCTTTTGGAACCATGTGCATTTTAATCACACAGTCAAGCTAAGAGGGCTCAGAGCTGTCTGCACAGACAGGAGAGTGGGCAGCCCTGCCAGCTCACTGGCACCTGACACATGCTGGGTGTGGGCGTGGCACAGTAAGGGCAGCACGCCTTGGTTGTCTCCTGCCCAGCCAACGCTGGGGCAGCTCGGCGACTTGTACAGGTCAACTGAGGACACCCTGGTCAGGGTGGGCTGATGACACAGACCAGACTGGAACCAGGGTGGACTGACAGAGATCCAGTTCAATTTTCAATTTCTTTTTTATATAGCGGCCTTCAAACAAGTTGTCATTGAGTGCTTTCATAGTTATTGACACAGGCTATGCAAACAGGGTGGTTCAATACACTAAATCAAAAGGAAATTTGTGTAACTGCAAGTAATGTTGTATACTGTATAGTATCATAGGTTCATGGAAACTGAAAAGATGGATACTTACGTACCTGCACAGAGTAGAAACATACAAAGTGAGTTTACTCTGTTCATACTGGTGCTGCCTGTGAACATATGGGGTCAAGAATAAGGCTTTGTAGTTGACATGGTCACTCTTCATCATTGCATGCACGATTCATATTAGCTTAGCAAAGATTTATTACAGGCAATGTGTTTAATGATTTCAGTTCAATACATATGTTGTGAAAAAATTATATCCATCGTTAATTTCATGATCCAGGTATTGACCGATACAGCTTTGATGTCTATGGTACAGAGACAAATTATTAAAAAGCACTAATTTGTATGAAGATATACTTTTGTCTTTGAAGTGCATTAGTGCTCTGTCCCCAAACTGAGAAGATAAACGTAAAGTGCAGTGACTTAATTTGTCCCCATGTAAAGACGGAAACAGCCTCAAAGCTGATAGACGTATTCTCCTGCCTGTATTACCCCACCACTACAGTCTCTGCTTTAGACAGCTCATTTTCCTTCAGCTTGAGCGTGACTTTCTACAGCTTGTATACGGCAGTCCGCAGTGAGCTGTGTGAATACTGCCTGCTGCTTTCAACACACAACCTGTAAAGAAATCCGTTACAGAGCCACGACAAGCTTTTATCTTTACTCAATATGAATACAGCTGATAACAGAATGCACCCATGCTAATATATCAAATAAAACGAAATAAGAATATTGAATATATAAATTGTGATATAAAAAGTAGTTGCCAACAAAGTAGTTTACTTTCGAAGGAAGATTCTCCCCACGCTGCTAGAACACTGTGCAAGCCCAGCGCAGAATTAACGTACTCTCTGTATAGTTTCCAAAAGTTAAGAATCATATACTGATTTCAAGATAAAGAAGAGGCCAAAAGAAATGAGCTGGTTCCTGTTTGAAAACAGATACATACGGATGCGAGTGAAAAAACTTCTTCCTCCTTCTTTGTTTTCCTCAAGATCTTCTCTGGAGATACGCTGCTGTGATTCAGACCTGAAGGAAATGGCCACTCTTTCCCGCCAATGACTCTGACTCAAACCTGTTCCTTTTGGTTTATTACAAAAACTGGCGTCTGTGTAGTGCAATGACATAATGAATGCTTAAAGGCAAGTTTTATCATCTTTTTTTTCCCTGCAATAGGAATAATAGGAACGTTGTTCCTTTTCACTGATGGTCATAAGAACATAAGAACAGCTATAAATGAGAGGAGACCATTTGGCCCTCACCCCTGAAAGAAGCCAGGGTATCTGTTTCGACAACATGGCTAGGTAGCTTTTTCCTCTCTCCTACTACCCATTTTGGTAAGAACTGCCTCCTATTCTTGGTTTTAAATACACTACCCTGTAGTTTCCACTTGTGTCCTCTGGTTCGTGTTTCGCTGTTTATTCTGAATCACTCTGCTGGGTTGACATTATCAATGCCTTTGGAATATCAAAGGATTTGGAATATTTGTATCAGGTCCTCTCATAGTCTGCTGTGTTAAAGACTAAAATGGTTCAGCTTCTTCAGTCTGAGTCTGAGAGCATAGGAATCTAATTCAGCACTAATCTATCATTTTTGTGGTATTCCGGGATATTCAGGCTTGTTTTGCAAGCAAACAGAGAATAGCTCTCCAGGGCAGGGTCTAGCTGTTCTAGGATCACCGGGCGAAAGTAGGTGATCCTGCACAGCATCTCACCGAGACAGTCCTCTGCCGTGTGGGACTGATTTTCTCTCCCTCTGACAGACCCCTGCCCACCTCGCTGCCCAGCACACTTCCACACCAGTGTGCGAAAACTCACAAAACTCACAAAACATGACACACTGACAGACATTTCAAACCTTGACTGGAATTTACTGCAAGGACAGAGGGCTGAGGTCTGCAGTGTTTCTCTCTGAACTACCAAACCATACCAATGAATGAATACCCTTATGACTTGGCTCCTTTTTTAAATTGTTTTCAACGCATTCTCAGTACACTAGGCAACTGCTGTGCTGTATATAGAAAAAAAAGTCATTACTAGGGAAAAATGAAAGCTTAATTTTCCCCTCTTCAACAACTTCTTTCGCACTTGGGCCTTATAATCTCCTGCTACAACACAGTCTCCTGTAAATAAATACTGAAACTCTGACACACTCTGTTGCAAAGGTGCATGCCTTACAATAAACCGTATTGGGGATTTCCTGGAACCCAGCAGCAATGCTTAATTTATACATGCTTCTGTTGTATGTTTAAAAATAAAATTACCTGCTGTCTATACTCTACGGTTTTCTGTAAGCTGGATATAGTAAACTATTTTGACAGCGTGTATAATACTCTTTAGCCGAACATTAGCAAATTTAAGATGAAGCAGAGCACAGTTAACAAAACAAAAGTAATGCTATTTTGTTGCTCAAGCCTTGTTCATTGCCCTTTTAAAAGCTGTAGTATTTTTCTAAATTTAACTCGTTTTAACTAGTTTTCTGTCAAGCATGGCAAATACTTCTGGGAATCATCGAATATAAAGTCGAGCAGCCTAATCGGAAGGTTTTCATGCTTTCAGCAAGACTAGATAAGAACCCATGCCGCCATGATGACTAAGCACTATCAGTTGAAATGATCTGTGGTTCTCCTCCCCAGGGGATTTCAACACAGTTAAAAAAAAACAAATCAAACTGCAATGTCTGCACTGTGTTCTTATCTGTCCATTGCTTACTTTTACCAGTAGTTTGGCGGTCTTCTATTCTGGTCACTGTTGAGATCACGCAGTCTACCGCTTGTTGACAGATCCTCAGCTCATACGGGTCATGTCCTTCGTGCTCAGAACTTCCTCCAGACAATGCCTAGACTCCTGCTCTCAAGTTTAGTGGCCCACAGTGTATCCCTGCAAATACACAGACATGACTGCAACATGGAACATCCTACAAATGCTCCTTTTTCGTGCAATTTTTTTTGTGGTTTTTAATAATCACGTGTTTTTTGATAATCCGCCCACTGAAGCTCATTCCAGTCCATTCTTTTCCAGTGACAAACCTTTCGCTATATTGTTATTTTCTGTTCCACACCTTATACAGGATGCAAAGAGACCCAAAACAAATATCTGAAACTTTTGGAATTTAAAAGAGTCATTTATTTTACAGTCCCCCAATTGTCTGTGTCAGGAGTTACTGTCTCAGTAAAGACTCACTTTATCCCCACAGTGACAGTAATATTTGCTCATTCTCATAAACACACATTCCATCTCTTTTGAAAATAGCCTGAAACTGATATATATATATATTGTTACAGCTTTAGGTGACTGAAGTGTCTCTTAGATTTCAGACAGGTTTGTGACACTGGGAAGAGTAAACACTCCTAACTTCAAAGCCGAGAGGAAATTTGCTGAGGTCTGGGGGGGTCCCTTGAGCAGAAACAATTGTAAATTACCTTAGTACACCCAGGTAAATTGTGGATTAATGATCGTCAAGGAGCAGTACAGAAACACACAATATAAGATCACATGAAGAGAGAGGAGTTCGGAGGAGTTGGGGCTTGAAGCTAGAGCCCCTAATTTATGATCATCAAAACCAAACCTGACTAGAGCTAAGTATCCAAATCTTGTTAGAGAGCGTGCTATTCTGTGTTTTTAGGGAACTTGGGTTTTCTAGGTAAAAGATACCTCAGTAATGTCTTTCCTGTTTAGGGTGCATTTTATGGATAGAGATATACTGTAGGCTCCCATTTATTTTGTGGCATCCGTGGTGATGAGAGATTTAACTGCAGGTTACATTGCATTTAGTTAGAAGGCAGCTCATCTCTTATGTGGGCTCTGTAGGCATTGTGGGTTTAATGCTTAGCAACAGTCTGGGATTTTCTGGGTGACCACACTGTTAGGCCTCTGAAACGCCTTGTTTGTACATAGAGTAACTTGTGTGTTGTATGTTTTGTTGTGCATAGTGTAATCTGTGTCTTGTGTCATTGTAATAAATATTTGTGCCTGAATTATTACTCCTCTCATCAATGTTGTGCTGGAGAACAAAGAATTCATGAGCCTCTAATTATACCAGCCGCTCGGGTATATTGCTAGAAAAAACTTAGAAGTTGGGGGTAATGAATGGTTATTTTACTTAACCGCTTGGTCAATCTCTGATTTTCACCATTTTTGTAACCCTCCATTTGTAACAATAAATATATTCAATAGAAATGTCCCAGTTCAATGTAAAAACCTACTGGGATATTTCTGTACAAACCTGTGGTATATTTTCCCAGGGCAGATTCATGTGTAAATAAACGTGTAGCAGCCATGTGGTCTCTTCAAGAGTTGGTCTTTCCATCCTTTTGCAGAAATCTCTGCATTGACTGTCATAAACTGGTGGTTTGGTTGTACCATGTTGCATTGTTCCTGCTGGTGGGGAGCCTAAGCTGAGGTCACGCTCAGAGGGCTGTACTGGACTAAAATACTGGCTGAGCAGAAATTAAGAATGGTTATGCAAGAGAGCCCCATCGAGCTCACTTGGCTGCTAGTAGAAAACTGATCTGAGGATCTCTTCCTGCAGTTTCTTGGTCGAAACCAGATCGAGAGCTTTGACAACATGGCAGGGTAGCTTGTTTCAGACCCCCACCACGCTTTGCGTAAAGAAGGATTTCCTGGGCGCACGTGAAATTAGCGGCCTGTTTGGCTTGCTGTTACAGCAAGACAGCCACCTTTGTGCTCTCATGGAAAGCCGTTGTCTAAAGAGAATTTCTTGACATTTACTGCAGGTCTTATCTCGGGTCCCGACGGTGAGCATCTGCCACAAGGACAAGGAAAGCTGCTACATAGCCTGAAGGTTAACAAGCAGCCAAGTTATTCATGTTGATGAATAAATGAGCGATCGTGGCGTGACTCATCCGTGTTGCTGGCTGTGGTTTGCATGCGTGTCCAGCAGAGCTCCAGCACCCTGGTCCCACTGCACCTGGGCAGAGAAGGGCGTCACCTGAGCGTTGGACTGCAAACGGAGCAGATTTCCATTTTTCCATGTAATTCAAGCGATGCACAGCCAGGGGGATTTGAAAATAAAATGTTCTAAACAGCAAGCAGAATGTCACTGTATTCATTACTGGAAAAGTACATATTTCCTCTGGTGTCATTTCATTTTGCCTGCAGTATCAATTAATTTCTGGATCCCCAAACTAAGAAAATTCTGGCGTGAGGACATAACAATATTTGTGTTGGCAGAATGTGTGGGATTGAGGTTGGAATATCATCTCCAATTCTGTATAGATAACTGGGTTTCACAGAACTTCTGATTTAAACACTGTAAAGTTCAACAACATATCCTGTATGTGGGTGTCAGCTATAGACAGTCGTAGTATTTATGTGGAACCTCCCCTCAGAATCTCTACCCTTGCCACTCGCCTTTTTTTCCACCAAACTCTGTGGACTCCGAACATGGAAATTAAACACTTGCTGGACAGCAGGGGGAGCTCTATACCACTCTTTCTGCTATAGCTACAGTTCTTGTTAGTATAGCTTTGAAAGGTCAGCACTTGCAGCAGAAAGCATGGAGCATTGGAGGATAGCAGGTTCTTTACTGCTGCAAACTGGCAGCTTGATGTCTCTCTCATGAGGACCTACATCGAGAGTTTTCTGAAAACCCACAAATCCCATATCATAAACCTCAGTCCCGTCTGCTACAGTAACTGCTCATTGATAAGGAATGAGTGTGCTGACCAGGTATCACTATAGAAGCCCTCAGACTGTCTGCCTCTGTAATACCATGACTATGCAAATCCCGGGGTTCCCCTCACTGCGCTTGATGTCCACAGAAACACCCTAGAGGGCGGACATGCACTTTCTGAGTCTTCATCACAGGACTGTGGTGGATTTGAGAATATGAGGAACTGCCATCAGCAGTACCCCCCTGGCTCCTATCACAGAGCTGCATGAACACAGTGTGGAGGAAAGATTAAAATACGTGAAGTATTTCAGACAAATCGTGAAAACATCATTTTAAGAAGTTACGCAGTTACTGTCAGTAGTGTGTGTAGTAACTATACTGAAAGAAGCCCTTTCCTCTGTTCTATACCGCCCCACCATTGCTCCTGTGGATTGGACACTCAGTACTGAACCTCCAGAGGAATTAATAACTAAAATAATTCAGCCAGTCGAGGCCTTTCTCCAGACTCAAAGCCAGCAGAGAATTGAAGAGACCTTTAAACATTGCTTGGCTGTAGTTCCTGAGGACATTCATTCAATATCAATCCATCACCAAGTATCTATACCTACACAGAGAATGCAGGCAAAATTTCACCGGAATACGTGCTGCTTTGAAAGCTTACATTTGACAGTAAACATAAACTTCTTTGTCAGCTGCAGTATAAAACCACTCGGTGGGGATCGTCAGCAAAGCACAAACAATCCATTGTCTCATTTCAAAGGTTAAATCTGACACAGCTCACCATCTGATTCTGTCATTTGTCCTGCTCACAGAGAGATACAGTAGACAGATTTTTACAGCTAAGCTGAATATTCATCTTGTCCGTGAAACATTGCAAACAGAAGTGTCCTAAAATTTTAGGGACACACCAGCGTGTGTGTGAAAACTATTACTTTCTCAGAATCAGAGATTTGGTCAGTCCCATCAAAACATGTCCTCGATAATAATGAGAACTTTAATAATACAGTACTAAAGAAATAATTTCAAGAGCAAAACAAAAACGACAATGCAATATCTGTTTTGCTCTTACCAGGCTCTGTGGTGCCAAACTGCTGCACTGTGACTTGAGCTCCTCTGGTTGGCAGTGTAACTGGGCACTTTGTTGTCTAGTTCTCTCAGTTTGTATCTTTTCTTCATTGAGAAAAAATATCTTCTCCTCCTGCCAGAGAGCAGACCTGTCACTGTGCATGTCACCGGCTCTGATCAGCACTAAGCATGGACTTTCACAAAGGGGATTTCCTGCAGAAGTGAGCTCACATTCATGTGTAATACAAAGCATGCTTAAAACTGTGGTCATGAATGTATTTTTCAAATATGAAATCCATTTGTACATCATTTAAATATAAAAAATAAAAATGAATGAATGATTCAGTTAATGTATGAAATATAAATCTTATGAGTGGTTTTAACACTTTAGCAATTCAATGGTTCCTAGTGGCATTAATTCACTGTGATGTTTATTTATCAGCCAATCACTGGCTGTAGGTCCTTGAAGCCACCTGGATTGACCCATTAGCCAGATGTGCTGTTGTCTACACATGCACCCAGAAATACTGGGTAAATACTGGAGGTAAGTAATTTATATTAGCTTTCTCTCCCACAGCACAGCACAGTGAGGAAGAGGCTCAGCCTGCTACCACTGAAAGATATCACTGCTCTGGAATCAGTCCAGGCAAGAGTGACCAGGTACTGTATATTCCTGATCTTAGGAGGGAAAGGCCTTCACTGACAGGAAAGGAACTGAATTTTTATACAGTAGGACTGAACAGATAGACCGTTGAGCAGAGTTGATACAAATCCTCAAAGATAGTGACCCAGTGGACCTCTTCAGAATGGACAGTGAAACATGAACCAGAGGTCACAAGTGGAAATTTCATAGCTGTGGCTCTCAAAGGACAGTAACTCCAGTCATGTGTGTTTGGACTGTGGCTCTCAATGGCCAGTAACTCCAATAACTTGTATATAGACTGTGGCTCTCAATGGCCAGTAACTCCAATAACTTGTATATGGACTGTGATTCTCAATGGCCAGTAACTCCAGTGACTTGTATATGGATTGTGGCTCACAATGGGCAGTAACTCCAGTGACTTGTATATGGA